TGTGAGATACATTATGCATCATTCTGAAATCCGGATTTCATTGATGCCAACATCATAGCATTGAATAAAAACAACTTGTATCCTGTACACTTATGTACTAGTTTGACATTCTTGTACTATCGTTTTAAAAAATACAATGCTGATTTTATCCACAATATTCTTTGGACTTACTTTCGCATAGCTGTGTTTCTATATTCCACCAGTAATTCGAGCAACATCTTTTGAAGCTCCTGGAAACAGTCTTTTAAATGAAACAGTCTGTTTTAACTTGAGTAATAAGTTGGCATTTAATGATAATGATAATTACCTAACATGGATTCAAATAAATATTTGTAAAGCTCAAATACATGCATGCCACATCTTGGAATTTCCGTCGTACATGAACAAAGAAAATAAGATATACAAAAAGTCAATATATATGTGATAAATACTGACTTATGCTGCATCATGTACACTAACACAATTAATACCAGCACATAAATTTATCAATGATATTTTGTTTCCTTTTACTTTGTATGGGAAATAGATAAATTTCCTATTTCCTTGAAAACATAGGATACAATTCATCAACGGTCGAATTGTTAGGACTTAGTACTTCTGCACATTTAGTGATTCAGCAAGCAGACATTTCTTTCAGTGCTTAGAAATCAAAATCAATATATACAAAAAAGAAAACAAAATGAAAAATCTGCAATTTATCCGAACTGCATGGAAACTCAAGAATGGATTGATTGCAGAAAATAGTTTAAACTTATTCCGGATTGATCGCTATCTTTTTTTCCTGACATTGATACATTTTTTTCTTCTTCATACATATATATTTCATGTAGTAAACCTTCATTGGATACACGATGATTGTCTTTATTCATACATGTACATATACCATAACTATCTTTAAATGAATGATACTTATATATTTTTTCACAAGGGTATCTATTATTTCTCTTTTATTGAACGAAGGAAAGCACAGGACAAATTTCGAAAACAAATTACGGATACTTGTCAACATCGTTACATTGTAAACCAAAATGTACAAAAATGAAATATAAATTAATCCGTTAATCCGTGGATGTGTGATATTTCTTCTGTCTAAGTATTGTCTAAATTGTCGTACTCCGAGCTCGCTGGAGGATTAACACCTTCCGCATCAGACATATCTTGACTCAAGTTGATCTTGTACATCTTTTTGGAACGTTCATAAATTATATGAACATTTGAAATCCCTGTGAACATATTTGGAATGTCTACTCTTTCATATGATCTCTCGGAAGTTTCCATTCTCTGTATTTCTTGATAATCGTTGATTACATTTTCCGATTGTTTTTTCGCATAATAATGTCTTGTTATGGCAAAAGAAATGAATGCTGATAACAAGATTAAACTTACTATGCTGATAACTAGGATAATCATTCCGTGTATTGAAATGCGAATCCATGCATTTTTTGACAGAGAGGAATAGACAGTATAATTGGATGATGAAAATGTAGCATTCATGTACCATAACACTGAAAATGAAATTGATATGGAATGATTTTTTATGCAATAGGTCGTTTTTGTCAGTATAGAATCATGTAATTTAATTGTCAAATTTACTCTACCGGAAAAATCCACACTTGTACCTCCTCTGCTTGTCACATATGTTCTATTAGCTGTATTTATATAAAAATGACCTAATTATTTTTGTATTTTAATGATTAGGAAAAACATTGAGAATTAGTTAGGAATTAAACTGGATTAATATCTCACCATTCTCGATGAAAGAACTGTCACATCCAAATTTAAAATCGCACTTAAAAAAAGAACAGGAGCATTGTTCTATACAAAGTCTTCCATAAAAAGGATATTCACAGGGAATGTCACAGAAAAGCCCAACATATCCCAAATTGCACTCTAAAACATTGAAAGTACAAGTAACTACTTAGATATTACTAGTTCTAAACCTAAGAAAAACAAAACATTCATGTTTGTTTGGAATGAAATACAAACTTTTCCATATCACATCCTGTATCAATCTCAGATATCAATATAAGCCAGAGTGCCGAAGGCCCAAGGGCTTATATTGCTTGAGGACTGGTGCTGGACGTGATATGAAAAATTGGATGTTTTCTTATGTTTATTACATACTTAGTAATAACATAAAACACAGATATTCTTTAGCACAATCATATAAAAAATAATCATTTACTAGTTTATTATATCCAATTCCAGCAAACATTTACATTGCTGTGTTTTTCACTAATCCAGCGCGCTAGCACGCCTACGTGACAAGTCTGTGTGATTTACACACCAATAACTCCATCAAAACTTTGAAACATTCCTTAATTTAAAAAAAAATCATTTTTTAACAAAAGAATTTATGAACCGAAATATATAGATTTATTATCTCAAGCACTGCTTCTTAAAGATTTAATCAAACAAGGAGTGTGATGTGATATTAATCTCCATCAGCGACGAAGGATCTGTTTCAGCCTGGAAGCTGTTACGGCTATTGTGACGTCAGACAAATCGTATATGTTAAAAAAAAAAATATAAAAAAATCCTTTAAATTATTTGATACTAAGTATATAATAAACTTACGTAGTTTACTTTGTCTTTACTTGGATTACATCAGTTAAAAAATGTTATGAAGAAATTCACTAGCTTGTATACATGTATATTTGCGGAGGGTATGGTGTGGAATTACGGTTTAATATTGATCATAGTTTATAGCGTTAGATTAATTAGTAACCTTTTCCTTATTAAACATGCACTATTATCCAATGTTATATTTGGTTTGGTTTTAAATAGGAAAATTAAATATTCTGGTAATTCCATTTACACTCATTACCAGTACATCTTCCTAGGGATGCGTTCCAAATTGTACCGGCGCAACATCCATATTCGCTGAAAAAATATACGTAGAATAGTAGAAAATTTAGAGAGAAAAAAGGCTTATATTTTCAAGAAGCATATTAGTGAATCTTAAAAACAAGTTCAATTTACAGTGTATCTTGCAACCGAGTATTTCATTATGCCATTTAAGGAAAGTGAATGACATAGTTGTAATCAAATGTATACATAAAATTAATACAAATTTAATTCATATATATATATATATATATATATATATATATATATATATATATATATATATATATATATATATATATATATATATATATATATATATATATATATATATATATATATAGGGATGTATAATTTCCGGGGTTTTTTTTAGTGTGCAGACATGTTATGCTGTTGAAAAAATAGTGATGGAATCTTTTCATTTGGAATTTAATGCAAGATTGATTGATTGATTGTATGTTGTTTACATCCCATTCGAGAATTTTTCACTCATATAGAGACGTCACCGTATGCCAGTGAAGGGCTTCAAATTTAGACCTATACTCGGCACTCAAGGCCATTGAGCAGTGAGGGTTCTTTATCGTACCAACTTGATAAAAACCTGAGACGTTAGCTTGTAAATGTTCAATTACCATGCTCTCTCCATTAGAAGTGAAAGTCATGTCTTTCAGATATGACCCTAAAAACAGAGGCCCAGTATCACGCTTGACGTTGCCACGATAAAGATCTCTCACTGCTCAAGTGTCCTGGGTGTCAGGTAAAGGTCTGAATTCAAAGCCCTTCACCGTTTTACGGTAAGGTCTCTATATGAGTGAAAAATTCTCGAATGGAACGGTAAACAACATACAGTCAATCAAACAACGTATCAGTGGGTTACTGAATCTTGACGTAAAAAAGAATCCTTAATCATTTCCATCCAAACATTTCATGCCATGAAAAAATGGTTACAATTTATTCAGTGTACATAGCATTCTGAAAGATGCAACCAATTACATGTAGCTCGGATTTTTTCCTAGAGTTTTGATATATTAAAATGAAAATTTAAAAAGAAAAACACACATACGATTTATCTGTGCATGGCCCCTTTTGACAGCTTACTCCAAAACTTGCTAAAATGAATATAAAAGCATTAACCATTGTTTGACAAAGACTATGATTTTGGCGAGCAAACTGCTTTTTTAGCTCAAAGAATGATGTGGAATTGCGTTGATTTGAAATATTAAATTTGTTTCCGTAATTGAAAACACGTGTATTCAAAACGAGTGTATCCTTAACTTCCTGCAATCTGATCAATATATTTCACAATTCACATTATAATTTTTTATTGTACTTTCAAATACATAAAATGCCTGAAATAATTTTTAAAATCGTTCTATTAACAGGAAACATTTAAGTGAACATTGTAAACATAAGAATTGTTCCACAAAACAGAATCGTGCTAAAATATTTTGACGTTAAATTTATAAGACATACATGTAGGTATATTGAAAAAAAGGAAAGGGATCGGGGTGTATCTGGAAGTCCTTCTATGCTTTCATTTTTAAAAAGATATATATTCTACATTCTCATTCGTAATTTTTGTACAACTCTGTAGAAAAAAAAGAGCAACAAATAAAATTTCAGAGGGAAACGAATATGTAGAATATATACAGAACTATGTAAAAATATTTCAGTCCAATTCAAACCTCTATGTAGATATTTCTGAGCAGAGCAACAGTTCTCACCAAAGTAGTACATTCTTATATGCAAAAGTAAGGTGCCTGATTTGAATTTTGTTTTAATCTAAATCTGCCTGCTTGTTTGTATTGCATAAAACAGTTATATACAATTATTGAAAGGCACAAAAAACATTTTATAAATAGAAATGATGTATTTAAAAATAATGAATAAATAATGTAAGATCAATTCAATATAATTTGCCTCAATTGACATGCATTTTTCATACGGCATAATGATTTTAACACATGTTCAATTGCACGCAGAATTAGGTTTCTGTATCACATTATAAAAGATTTTGAAAGCTTGAAAATTAGGGAAATGTATATAGATGCATAGAAATACAACAAAGATATGAAACTGTTTTTAAGCAAGGCATACACTTGTAATGTATGCAAGGTCACGACTTCGTCAAAACGAAAGTACAAAGGATAAAAGAAAAATGGCGACTGCGAAAGAAGATTGTGATATCGAAGCTTTTGAGACTGAATTTTTAGGACTACAAGTAAATCCAAGCGAATGTCAGAGTCAGGGTATCCGTATATCACAACATCAAGTAAAGAACAAAGCTGGAGGTTATGTTTACGAAACGGATCTAGAGACGCAGTTGATTAGGTTTCTATTACTAGGATCTTCAAAGTTGTTTTATCGAACCGAAAGCTGGGAATTCACTTCACAGGATGCCTCATGTATTTCAGTGTGAGTGTTCCTGTAAAAGAATAATCCAAGCTACACATAATATCGAAAAAAAGTAAAGATATTCAAAAATGACAACGTTTAAACTAGACTTATCTCTTACAAAGATGCTTTAAGATGTAATTTACTTGCTTTTCAAATACACAGTCATTTAAAAAAAATGATTTACACTGTTTAGTAATAAACGGCCGAGAAATGATTAAATAATATTTCAACAACATTCCAGATTTTTGTTTTGACATATTTTTCTATTTTGCACATGTTTGTTAATGATTTAAAGACGTACAACACATTGGGGGAGATAACTCTTGCGATTTCAATAAAACGTTTAATATAACGTTAAATTTGACGTAAATTACGAAGCGTCAAAATGACGAGCGATGCGATCCCGATGTAATTAATGTAAAAAAAAATATAGAATTGAGGTTTTTATTGTGGTTTCTTTAGGAATACCAAATCCTATCCTTGATCATTTGCGCAATTGCAATAAATCTCCCCCTCCATAAAAAAGAAAAAAAAAACGACAGGTTCCTTGAACTTCTTTAATTTAAATTTAGTTAATTAATTCTTTAATATTGTATTTATGATATACAAAAAGGCTTTTTTTTTTTAATCTAAAAAATGTTAATGCTACTCTACATTGCTTTTTCCTGTTACAATCGGCCGCATAACATTGAGAATAAATATTACCCGTATATATTTCAGAAATTGCTTATTCATCTTCATTTAAATGCAGATGTAAAGTTTTATATTTTGTGATAAATATAATGTTCATTACATTTATTACCGGTATGTCTAAATATTATCATATTACGAAAATAAACATTTTCTTGCTTTTCGTTTCTTTGAAAAAAAAAAAAAATAAAAAAAAGTAACCGTTTTCATCAGGTCACTGATCAAAGAAAAACAACTCTGGATCTAAAAATGTAGAGGTGCATGTCTTTCCTCCCCTTAGCTGATTTATTTCTCCTGTTTTCCGAAGAATTGTGTTTTTTCCCCTCACAAATACACAGATACATTTACAGTGTGTCGCAAGGAACACAAGACGCAGCACTGTTAAGGCGTACTTTGAAGAAATCAACAGAATATAAACGTGCATAAATACATACCTTTTTAAAATGAATTTTAATTTTGTAAAGGTACTATATTATCTTATGACTTTAACATTCTTTGAAATAACATTGTATACCCCGCTCTGTACTGAATTTGGTTTGGTCACGTTATTTGATAGTCACGTGATAAATGCATGTAATGTGTACTGTATGTAGGTCACACACAAATTTCAATATCGCAAGGGCATACCCTAGTTAAAATTAAAGATTAAAGTAATAGATTGTTTCTACATAACTTGTAGTTTATAGAAAGTGCTGCTGCTTTAAATAGAATTCGCATTTTATTAGTTTAAATTTCAAGTTATCTTGCTAATGTCGAAATATGTGTGACTTTTACCAAGTATTTTATGTATTTATTAAGTTATGCTATCGATTTCAGGAAAGCAGCAGCACTTTTCAAGTTAAGGAATATGTCCATTATGTGTATTCAAAAAATGGTCAAGATCTATTAAGTGTATTCCCTTGCGAAAAGGCGATTTAATAAGGCACCTCGGCGTGAAACTTGCACACCCAGTAGACAAAAACACGGTAGAATTAATTCAATACATTCTCTCGATATTTTTTAAATAATGGCACTAAACAAACATTTCAGATTTGTATTAATGGTCTAACTAAGATTTTCAAATAATATTCTGTTTAATAATAAAATGCATTTTTCACTGTGAAAAAATTACTTGATCCGCCTCTCACTGCACATAAAATGCGTCAAACTTTACCATGATGACGTCATGTCGACAAGTGCACTGCGATCAGTGACTTGTTTATATCTTGCTGTGTGGGATTTAACTAGCGACAAAAATGAATGCAGTGGTAAGTTTTGATGTAGTTCATTACTCTTATGCAGTTTAGATTCGCAAATTATTTCATTTTCCGTTATTGTGAGGAATTGGTATATTTGTGTGATGTCACAGTAAACTTTTCCCGTATAAATTAGGCCCCGCCCCCTTTATGCAGCCTTAACAGAGCTGCGGAACTGAAAGCCAAAGTTTATACAAATTAAAGTAAGTATCAACAGTGAAAAATTATTTACTGAAATTAATACAACGGTTGCACCCCATTGAGAAAATCGTTTCAGTTCGCATTTCCTCGAATAAAAAACAAAACGATTGATACCAATGTAGATGATACCATTGTAGATGATTCAGGCACATGAATAATTTTAATATTGATAGATAATTTACAATTTGGTACAATTGAAGTTAATATGGACAAATACATCATTTATATTTATTGAAACAACAGAAGGATACAATATTCGGTGGGGGTGGGGGTGGGGTGGGGGCACCCCTCTCGTTTGAAAACAGAAATGATTTAAAACCTATATGTACATATATTCCATTTTCATCACAAGAGAGTTGTACATACGCCACTGTTGGTTCACTTAAAAAATAATATTCAGTTCAAGTAGAAGTCATATAAAGGTTTGAACTGCACGTGTGCATGAACTCCAAACCGGATACGTGGTCATAAATTCTTTAGAAAAATATAGTTTTATTAAATATAAAAATAAAAAAAAAAAATTAGAATAGCAAAAAAATATTAGTAGTCAATATTTAATCTGTATAAATGAATGAAGAACATTACTTTATAGGAGTTTAATATGCCAAATATATATATATTATGCAGACGTAACCGAAGTTTTTTTTTTTTTTTTTTTTTTTTTTTTTTTTTTAATCAAGTTCGAATGTCCTGCATGGCAGAGAAGAATGGAGGGGGGGGGGGGGGTCTTAAAATTTCAGAAATTGCACGGGTACGTTAAGGCAGTACACAGATCATATTTCGGCGAATTTAGACTTTTTTCGTAAAATTTAACATTGATAAATCGGAAAAGCCATAGATAAAACATTAACTATTATTATCCATTGTATAGACATCATTCAGTCTTGGGCTAAAAGAGGCACTCCACTACGACGTCATCACGTGACGTCTATAAATAGAAAAATTGCCTTAATGAAAAAGTGAAAAGTTCAACACTACCCCGGGGATAATTCATTTCTTTTTGTGAAAATAATTATGTAAAAACATCACTGGACCATGAAAAGTGCTGCTGGATTCCTTCTCTCCAAACACAGAAAAAAATATTCCAAAGTTTCGCATGAAACCGTACCAAAATTTTTACATTTTATACATACGATCAAGGAATTGTCATCAATTTATGTTAACCACACGATTCTAGCAGCACTTTCCAGGTACTATGGAATACAAGCTTTCGATACAAACAAAAATTATGTTTCACAGTATGCGGCATAGTGTTGAACTTTTGCATCTTTGTTGTTATAGAGCGACAGAGGAAAGGCTGATCGATATTTCAAAGCACTGCCTGTGTTCATTACAAGAAAACATGCTAAGAATATATCAGCGTACCTGATTCATAATCTTTAATTCCTTATGAATTACACATAACATCCACGGTATATGCTTTAAACTCCCATTTCATATATTTGTTTACATGAATTCTCGTCACGTTTCATTTTCACTCGGCAAATATTTGATCAATAGTTATGACGTCATGGGTTTGGTATTTAACCCCCGTGATAAATACTTAGCTATTCATACCACCCCAAAACGACAAGATTTAGTTAATATTATGTTTTTGAATGATTCCATTCATTTCTTGGACCTGAAATTAAACTTAAGATATAGATATTAAGAAATCACTATTTGTAAAGATCACGTCATACAGCTTACTATGACGTCATATTGTAAAGGCAAGTAGGATATCTCAGATTTAAAGTTTTATATTTGTGAAAAATATAATGTTCATTACATTTTTTTAAGTAAAAGATATTTTCTAGCTAGGAATTTTTATTTTTATTTGTAGAATCATAGCATTGCTTTCGTCCCAAGTCTGAAAGACGCTGTGAGAAACGTAACTTACGGAGATAGGGGGAGGGGAGATTTTCAAAAAATTATCAAGAACATTTTGATCATCAGTTACAAGAACTAATTATTTTTTTTCAAAATCAAACGACAGATTTTTTCATAAAAAATATATCATATGAAAATCACGCATTTTTCAATGCAAAAATGAACCATAGTTTTTCAGTTTAAATTCTTCAAAATCGTTTTTCTCGAAGTGTACCTCTACAAAATCACTTTGTTTCTGTGTTTAATAGTTAAACGATCGATTCAGCAAATTTTGACAGCTAGGCTAACCTTAAATATTCTTAAATAAGGGATTTTATAGTTAGTTGGTTGAAATTTTTTTGTACTCATGATCAGCCAAAGGGTGGTAACTTTAAGAACTTCCTGTCCAAATTCGGCTCGAACGATTTTGACCAAAATGTACATACACATAGTAGATATTGTCGTGTATAAGGTATACAAAAATAGCGAAAATTAAACGACAGGAAATTTTTGGGGTAGGTGTGTTGTATATCCTTAAACCACAAATATTCTGTAGATCAATGTTGCGCGGAGGTAACGTGCTTCCAACCTTATCCTGCTTAAAATAGGGCTTTGAATGTTGGGAAAGAAACTACATGTACTTCGATGTTTCTGAACTGCGCGAATAGCACATTCTATAAAATTAATAGCGGTCGCCATCATCTCATAACTTAAAAAACTTTTCCCGCACAGAAACCTTACTGAGTACACAATGAAATTTTTATCAACTTTTTATTAAATAAATACTATTTGCGAGAAAATATTTCTTTTTGCCAAAAAAAAAAAAAAAAAAAAGTTTTTATCAGTTTAAATCTGTTCAAGTTTGAAAGGTTTGTGAATCCTTGATCCGCCTCTGAATCCATAGAATCATAATATATGTTTGTGTATTGACGTCAAGCGACTAAAATCATACATGTAATGAAAAGTCTACAAAATAATTGAAATAAAGACAAACAGTGCTAAATACACTCTTTAAAATAACTGAAAGTAAGTCTATCTTTGTAAGGTTTCACGACATTAACTGAAATTTACACTGTGGTGGAAAAAAAACCCAAAATTTTGAATGTTATCTGTCCCTAAGGATAGAGTTAGCTTCTCTATGTATAGAATGTCTGTAGATAGGAATGATTTTTTTTTTACGTAAATAAATAAGGCAACACTTCATATCTCTCTGTTCATATATTTATTTTAGAATTAAATAATTTCAAGAAGATTTAGGATTTATCCTCATAACAGAATACTTACCATGAATTTCAGTCTTTTGACGTAAATTACAAAAAGAAGCCGGTAGTTTTTTTAGATGTCAGTCAATAATCATACAAGACGCCAATTATTGACCACCAGGTTCAAACTGAATGGTTTTATTAAGTAAACTATTCCTTTATTTCAGTACATGTATTTTTTTCAAGTTTATAGAAGTTTATATGTTTTATAAGTTTTTATTCTAAAAATTTAAAAAAAAAGAGAAATTTATTACAATTCATTTTATAAAATTCTTTTTGTTTTCAAAGTGTGAAATAATAGGAATTTGTGTATGGAGTATCCATTGCATTGCTGACCTTACGAACAAGAAATGCATGTATATTCGTCAATAATTCATAAGAACTATAACATGTGCTTAATTCTCAGTTATTTGGTCACCGCTCTAAATCGGCCGTTTCATTCGGTCTGGCAGCCGGCCGATTGAGAGAGATTTTATTGTATATTGTATATTGTTCTATTCCTTGGTCTTACATTTGTTGTGTCATCTATATATCCTTTTGATGCATTTGTTTAAGTAAAATTTATTTTTACAGAGGAGAGTGGTGTTGAAAACAAAATATAAAAAGGCATTAACGTTAACAATAAATTATTTAAAGTAAGCCGTTAAATAACATACTGTATACACAATTTACTAAAACAAATGTCATGAACAATATTGATTTATGATTATACTGATTTACGATCTTGTACTGAAATAGCAAACTTAAAAACTAAAAATCATTGAAAAACTTCACAGTTGTCGAACAGCAGCTCTACGTAAAAGACCATTTATCATACAAAAAAAAAAAAAAAAAAAAAAAAAAAAAACGCATAATAGTAATATTTCATTTTTTGTGTTTCATTTTTTTTATAGATTGATCCAAGATGGCTTTGGAAAAAAGGTAGTTGAATTCATCAGAGATTTCTCGGAAGAAGGTCGTGCATATAGACAGGACACCTTGTTATTCGCATTAGCATGCTGTTGCAAATCTAATGACCCTGAAACAAAACGTGCTGGGTACCGTGCATTGCCATATGTGTGTAGGATACCAACTCATCTATTTCTTTTTATTGATTATTGCAAGGAAATCAGTAAAGAAAAGTACTGCTCAAAAGGATGGGGGAGACAGCATCGTAAGGCAGTCAGCAACTGGTATATTAATTTTGGAATGGAGGAACAAAAATTGATGCTTTTAGCTCAATATTTGACAAAATACAACAAAAGATGTGGTTGGACTCACAGAGACATTATTCGGCTAGCACATCCCAAAGTCAGCGAGACAAACCCTGCTTTAAAATACCTTATTGCGGTTGCAGTGAAAGGTAAATGTTTTGCCGACTCGAGCGATTTTATCAACAATGAAAGAAAGAAAACGCATTTTGGCACTTCTTTTCTGGCCGGAATTATTGATTACTTTGACAAAGTCGAAGATGCAAAAAAATCAAAAAACATAAACACTATTGTGGACCTCATCCTAAAGTATAGGTTAGTTCGGGAACATATTCCAACTTGCTTTCTGGATGAGAAAGACGTGTGGAAAGCTCTTATTAAGCATATGCCAATGACGGCAATGATGAGAAATCTGGGGAAGATGTCCAGCTTAAACCTATTTCGAACGAAACGGGAGGCTTTAAATGAAATATCATTTGAAGAACAATTAATAACTGACAAATTGAAAAATAAGGAACTTATTTGCAAAGCAAAAATTCATCCATATGCTTATTTTGTGGCACTTATTAAGTACAAACAAGGAATGGCAATGAATGTAAATTTGAGTTGGCCAGTTTGTCCTCATATTGCTGACGCTCTTGAAGAAGGATTCTACCTTTCTTTTTCAAACATTATGCCGACCAAAAAACGTTTTCTTTTGGCTGTCGATGTGACATGTGACATGCTTTTGACTGAGAATATGTGTAAGGATGACATACAGCGTCTTTCCTCACTTGATGCTGCTATCTTTATGATGATTTTAACCACAAGAACTGAGTCTTTTTGTGAGACTATCCTCTTTTCAAATGATGAATATTTGCCTATTTATGTCAATCCAAATGACACATTTGATGATCTGAAATGCAAGATTCGTGAAAAAATAAGCGAGTATAGATCCTCAGTATCTGATGCTTCTCTTCCATTCAAATATGCCATAGAAAGACGAAAGCTTGCTGATGTTTTTGTGATTTTCACAAGCTCTGATAAATCTCTAGGTTATGTGCATCCTGCACAAGCAGTCGAGTTTTATAGACAATCTTCAGGAAAGAAAGATGCACGGCTTATTGTTTGCGAAATGGCATCATCTAGACACTCTGTTGGAGATATCGAAGATCAATATACTTTGACAGTCTCAGGATTTGATTCCCATGTACCGAAAATAATAAATGAATTTGCCAAAAGAATTATTTGATGAAATATAGATACAGAGACATCTACACGGTTAAATAAGATATAAAAGTGAATGAATATTTTAGATAAAATTAAGTTTATGTTTGCATGGGTACACTCTGTTGTACCAGTATCTGATTTTTTTTTAAACAAATAAGACTTTGTTTTCGAAATTGTTAAGTAAATAAATGATTTTTTTTTTAAAAAATAGTAATGTTTATATGTAGTAGAAAACACAATACATATAGTTGCATATAGCGTGCACCCCCGTTCAGTATCTGTAATCATAAAAAATCTGGAATGTACAAACCTCAATGGTGATCTGTAAGCATCCATCTTTTTTTTTTACCCCATTCATTGTTAATTAATTTCTATACACGTACGCGTACTCGAATGTCTTTTCATCTAATATGAATAGAACGGAATGTAGAAACCAATAATGCCTAGTATCTACGTTTAAAAACCCACGCTATAATGTTTAAACCAATGGAAGTTATAGCCATTTATAGTTCAGTCTAATCAGATTTACAGCACACGTGCATACGCGTGTTTTCAAGAAATCCGTATATCACGTATTTTAGAACATTATATAATATCCAAATATATGGAATTTATCTCTTTTTTTTTTGGTCAAAATCATGTCAGTTATTGTGATTTTTGAGTCAGCCAACCAAAGTGAAGCACAAGTGCATGCACGTGATTCGCTTATTTTACTATGTCGTATTGTCTAGAATACAAATGTATCTTTTTTTCTTAGTTTCAAAGCATCAATAATATTTATAGTAATATTAAAAGCTGCAACTTTATTACATATATCAATAATTTCACTAACGCATACACACGCACGTGAGAGCATGCGCACAAAAAGTTTTTTATTCAGAAAATCTCCATGAAAAGTTCATGAACCTTAAGATCTCACCTAAATCGAATGAGTAGTTTTCGAGATCACTCGCAGACAAAGATGTACACCGGAAGGATAATTATAATAGTACGAAACAAAGTAAAAACAATACGTTACCAAACTGCGTTTTGGGGACCAACGAATTGGTATCAAAAAATTCCTGAACTAGCTCCACAAAATTCAAACAGCTTAAGGCAAATCAATGAAATTTAAAGATTTGAATTTTTAAGCTAACATATTGTCGTTCATATTGTCTTTCTGTACATATTGTCGTCGGCGAGAATATGTTCCTACTCTCACTGCACATATTGTCGTCCATCGGTACATACTGTCGCCGGCTGAAAAGTTACAAATATACATATTATCGCCGGCGACATTATGTGCCTACCGTGACTGCACATATTGTCGCCCCACAGTTAGAGTTACATGAGGTATTTTTTATAATAGTTTTATGAATGTACATTAAATGGAGCGTAAATCACACAGACTTGTGTTTAATAGGCTATTTCATGAAGAGCGATTTTGCGGGTACATATTGTTGTCCTATACATACGTATTGTCGCGGGCGACATTGTGCATTTCCCATAGCATATTATCGTCCGTCGGTATATATTGTTGCAGTTCGTCCATATCATGCCCGTAGGAAGCAATTTCACTTTGAGGGGGCACAACCAAACATTTTCAGTTGGTGTGGCACTGTCAACTACCAAAATTTCTTGACATGCAAAAAAAAAAAAAGAAAAAAAAAAAAAGAAAAGAAAAAAGAAAAAGAAAAAGAAAAAAAAAGGTCATCAGACGTTATTAATGAGGGTGCACAAGCATAATTTTAGTAGCATTATTTTAAAAGAAATTTCAATACATCCAATGTTTAATTTTCATTCCCTATTGTGGTTAAACCCTAACCCCTTGTTGTAATGATTTTGACAATTTACAATCTACACTTCCTCAGGAAGCCTTCTTCTTAATTTCAACCTTTCTGGTCTCATATGACCGAGGCTTATACTCGATATCAATGGTGTTTAGTGGATGTGAGTCATTGATTCCCCTTGAATTGGACACCAGATTAACCCCAGCATACACCGGTACGCATTTCAGCTAAGGGCAGGGAACCAATGCAGTTAAATTAAATTCTCTTTGAACATAACACAGAACAGCAAGTAACTACAGCGGGGCTCAAACCAACAACCTTGGGGAACTTGCCTAATACACACAACCACTGAGCCACTTGCTCCAACTTGCATTGTACGAAAGCGAAATTGTGCTTATGTCCCCTTAATACTATTGCCTGTGACGCCCTATCCTTTCCTCGAGATATAGAAGAGGTTAAAACGTCGTGAAAGAACAAAACAAATTAAAAAAAAAAAAAAAAAAAAACAAACAAAAAAAAAAACAAAAACAAAAACAAAAAACAAAAACAAACATCTAGCACTACAACTACGCTACTAACCCCTATTTATTTACACTTTTACATTTTGAATTTTAATGTTGAAAACTATTAAAAATGAAATGAATCCGGGCCACCGCTGGAGACGTCCGGTCAGTCTGGTATACTGTGGCGATGCGATATTTAAATAAGCGACCGAATTAATTATCACTAATTAATCACTGCAAGGTGTTAAAACTTATAACGTTGTATTCTCTCTCTCTCTATCTCTCTCATACTATTATTACATAAAGATATAGATGCTGAAATGAAACAAATAATAATGAAGGAAACTGAAAACGAGTAGAACAGAATTAGAAGAAAACTAATAACTTAAGAATCCTATAAAATTTAGAAATATTAAAACTTTTGACTAAGAATCAAAGCATTTTAAAAAAGTAGAAGGGGCCACATCGCTCACCTGAGCACTACGGCTAGGAAAAAGCAGAAATCAGTTCAGTTTTGAAAGGTTGAAAAGTTTAAATATAAAAGTGGTTGGGGGGGGGGGGCATGAATTCAACAAATTTGAATCTACATTACCTGAGGATGCTTCCATGTAAATATGACCAATCATGGCTTTCCTGTTCTTAAGAATTTTTTTTTTTTTTAAAGATTTTCACTATGTATTCCTATGCAAAATTTTGATCGTCCATTGTGGCCCCACCCGACCACCGGGGGTCATGATTTGAATAAACTTGAATCTACATTACCTGAGGATGCTACCATGTAAATATGACCAATCATGGCTTTTCTGTTCTTGAGAAGAAGATTTTTAAAGATTTTTCCTAAATACTCCTATGTAAAACTTTGATCACCCATTGTGGCCCCACCCGCCTCCCGGGGATCATGATCTGAACAAACTTGAATCTACACTACCTGTGGATGCTACCATATAAATATGAACAATCATGGCTTTGCTGTTCTTGAGAAGATTTTTAAAGATGCTTCCTATATATTCCTATGTAAAACTTTGATCGTCCATTGTTTCCCACCCTACCCTCCGGGGATCATGATCTGAACAAACTTGAATCTACACTACCTGAGGATGCTACCATATAAATATGAGCAATCATGGCTTTGCTGTTCTTGAGAAGATTTTTAAAGATGTTTCTTATATATTCCTATGTAAAACTTTGATCGTCCATTGTTTCCCACCCTACCCCCAGGGGTCATGATTTGAACAAACTTTAATCTACACTACCTGAGGATGCTTCCATGTAAATATGACCAATCATAGAATTGCTGTTCTTGAGAAGAAGATTTTTAAAGATTTTCCTATATGTACCTATATAAAACTTTGATCGCCCATTGTGGCCCAACCCGATTCCCTGGGGTCATGATTTGAAAAACTTGAATCTACATTACCTGAGGATGCTTCCATGTAAATATGACCAATCATGGCTTTGCTGTTTTTGAGAAGAAGATTTTTGAAGATTTTTCCTAAATATTCCTATGTAAAAATTTGATCACCCATTGTGGCCCCACCCGCCTCCCGGGGATCATGATCTGAACAAACTTGAATCCACACTATCTGAGGATGCTGCGATATAAATATGACCAATCATGGCTTTGCTGTTCTTGAGAAGAAGATTTTTAAAGATTTTCCTATATGTTCCTATGTAAAACTTTGATCGCCCATTGTGGCCCAACCCGATCCCCGGGGGTCATGACTTGAAAAACTTGAATCTACATTACCTGAGGATGCTTCCACATAAGTTTCTTATTTTCAAGCACAGTGGTTTTTGAGAAGAAGATTTTTTTAATGATGCCATTAATTTTTCACGAATTCATAATTATCTCCCCTTGGAAGAAGGCGTGGCCCATCATTTGAACAAACTTGAATCCCCTTAACCCAAGAATACTTTGTGGCAAGTTTGGTTGAAATTGGCCCAGTGGTTCTTGAGAAGAAGTCGAAAATGTGAAAAGTTTACAGACGGACAGGCGGACTACAAACAAATGTGGTCAGAAAAGCTCACTTGAGCCTTCGGCTCAGGTGAGCTAAAAAAAGAATTTATTGGGTAGTAATAACTATGCGGAGAGAAGAGTGTTGATTGTCACAACCAGACATTTTGGCCTAACTCATGTTCATCCTGGTTACAGTGCTGCTATCATATAAGTTGACAATCCTATCCTATCCTATCGTGAATCCTGCATCCACAATCCTATCCTGTGATTTCAGTCCAATCCTATCCTATCCTATCCTGCTACTTTCAGTTTTTTTAATATTTAGGAGTTAATTTGACAAAACGAAAAAAAATAATAAAATGATCATCATATAAAAATCAGTTATAATTATGGATTTTATTTAATATGTTTTAATGATAAAAATTAATCGAGATCGACATCCATTAATTCCCGACACCCCGCACAAATTAATTTTCGAGTACCCAGTTAAAATGTAAACAAAGGAACTGTAATAAAACATAAGCAAGTACTGATCTAGCGAACGTATCAAGAAAGTAAGCTTTCAAAATAGTTATAGAAGAAAATTATAATCCGACTATATTTTGATTTAATTTCACATACTAACGATGATCGAGAGACGTCACGGTATTTGCGATTTCTTTTCGAATTTATACACTTTGATAAATAAATGGGGTTAAAGTTAGAGAGGGGAAATCGTGGAAAAAGGGGGGGGGGGGGGCAACAACTAAGACTTTTTCTAATGTTATGATTATTAATAAGTAGACTAAACGAA